CCCTATGAACCGCATCTGCGGCCAAGCTCCAAATGTCCAGACTCCGCTTCTGCGGCCTCCTCTATGCACCTGCGGCATCGCACCTGTGGTCCCCAATCTGCAGGTGCAGAAATATCTTAAGCAGAAAATTTTGCAGCAACATTCAAGCTTCAACTCTTCTGTCATCCATCCAAATCCATCTTAAGGCCCTCGGGACCTCAACCAAACATGCCAACATATCCCATAACCTCATTCAAACTTGTTCCAACCTTCAGGACGCTCAAAACAACATCAAAACACCAAAATCACATCGAATTCAAGCTTAAGAATTCCAAAAACTTTCAAATTCCTTTTTCGATCAAAAAGTCTATCAAACCACGTCCGAATGACTTGAAATTTGCACACACATCTCAAATGACACATCGGACCTACTGCAACTCCCGAAATTCCATTCTGACCCCTATATCAAAATTCCACCTATCAACCAGAAAATGTCAAAATCCCAATTCCGCCAATTCAAACCTAAATCTACTCCGGACCTCCAAAACACATTTCAGTCATGCTCCTAAGTCCCAAATCATCTTCTGAATCTATCTGAACCATTGGAACTCACATCCGATCCCTTTTTCACATAAGTCAACATCCAGTTGACTTTTCCAACTTAAGCTTACTTAAAAGAGACAAAGTGTCTTAAACCTTACCAAAACCTTTCCGTACCTGAGCCAACCAACCTGATAACATATAATACCGCTGAACAAGGCAATAAGAAGCAGAAAGGGGGAAAATGGAGCGGTAACTCATGAAACGACTGGTTGGGTCGTTACATTAGCACCCTTAGTTGGGCCTCGAACCCAGGTCATCAAACGAGGTAAGGAACTTGAGTGAACTTCTCAATTAACACCCATTTAACTTTTATAATTGGGGGAGCCAAGTAAAATATATAGGGGATCCTCGATATATTTACAATTTTTTTACTGAGGCTAACAGGTGCTAGCACACCCCTACCTCTAAAGATGGCCGTGTTTATAGACAACATGGCACTACTTGTAACATGTCGTGGTTGCAAATAGTTTGATGCAGGCATTGTGATGGCTGATGTTTTACATATATGATAAGTAAGATATGGGACATGATCATGTATGTAAGCTTCATGAAATGTGTCATGCTTGCATCACATTGTTCAATTACGAATTTTACTCTTCTATATTGACTATGTATTTTATTTTGTTTTGGGAGATTGATTTTATTAAATATCACTATTTCAAACACGGTAATTAACGTTGAACCAATAAAAATAAAATATGATAAAAGTTCACTTACTCCTTGCAATCAATAATAATTTATTATATGGCTATGACAATGAGTCTCTTCCAACTCGACTTTGTTGGGCCATGCCCATGTTGTCCAGCTAAAGCCCAATGACCTAATCCTATTCCTCTTTGGTATTCATTCCTATTCGAAATTGAATTCGATTATTATTCCTATTTAGAGTTGGTTTTAGTTTTAAGAGAAAGCACCACTCATTATTTATAGATAGAGCAAAGGTAGCCCCCTGCACTAAATTCCCACTATGCGTAAGGTCCGGGAAGGGTCGAACCACAAGGGTTTATTGTACACAACCTTAACCTATATTTCTACTAGAGACCTTTTCCATGGCTCGAACCCGTGACCTCCTGGTCCCATGGCAATATCTTAATAATTATGCCCAAACTCCCAGCCTATCTATAAATAGAGCAAACTTAGAGAATTGTTCTATGCTTATTGATATAAGTCTTTGAAACACATTAGTGCATAAGAGTGGTTTTTGAGAGATCTTTTATCAAGAGAGAAGAGAGAGGAAAAAGTGTTTGTTTTGCTGTAGATTTTTGCTCTGACCAGCCAGCTTTAAATCACGTTTCACCATTGGGTCAGGCTGAAAATTTGACTGAGTGTTCTTCCCCTATTTGCTTATCTTTAAGAACACGGTGTAGCACGGTAATGCCAAAGAGGTTTCTATTGGAGATGACAGGGTGTTGCGGATATAGAGTCAGATTTGTGTGCCCAATGTGTATGGGTTACGTGAGTTGATTCTTGAGGAGGCTCATAGTTCGAGGTATTTCATTTATCCAGTTGCCGCTAAGATGTATCAGGATTTGAGGCAGCACTATTGGTAGGGAAGAAAGAAGAAAGATATAGTACAACATGTGGCTCGGTGCTGAACTGTCACTAGGTGAAGTACGAGCATCAAAGTCTAGGCGGTTTGCTTCAGAGACTTGAGATTCCCGAGTGGAAATGGGAGAATGTTATCATGGATTTCATTTTTAGGCTCCCATGGACTTTGAAGAAATTTGATGGAGTTTGGTTGATTGTGGACCAATTGACTAAGCCCGTATATTTCATTCCGGTTTTGACTACCTATTATTCAGAGCGGCGGGCTCACATCTATATCCATAAAATTGTTCGACTTCATGGTGTGGCAGTGTCCATTATTTCTGATTGAGGCACACATTTCACATCATAGTTTTGGAGAGCATTATAGTGAGAGTTGCACACACGGGTTAAGTTGAATACAACATTCCACCTCTAGATGGACGGACAATCCGAGTGCACCATTCAGATCTTGGAGGATATGTTATGCATTTGTGTTATAGATTTCGGGGGTTTTTTGGATCAGTTTCTACCGCTTGTAAATTTTGCCAACAACAACAACTACCAATCGAGTATTCAGATGGCTCCTTATAAGGCATTATATGGGAGGCATTGTCAATCTCCACTCGGTTGGTTTGAGCTAGGGGAGGCTAGGTTATTGGGTAATGATCTGCTTCGGATGCCTTGGAGAAAGTCAAGTTGATTTAGGATCGGCTTCATACAGCATAGTCCAGACAGAATAATTATGTTAATAGGAAGGTTCGTGATATTGCATATGTGGTGGGTGAGAAGGTTTTACTCAATGCTTTTCCCAGGAAGGGTGTGATGAGGTTCGGGAAGAAAAAAGTTGAGCCCTCGGTATATTGGTCCTTTTGAGTGCTTGAGAGGATTCGAGAGGTGGCCTACAAGATTGCATTGCCACCTAGCTTATCAGGTGTTTACCTTGTGTTTCATATTTTTATGCTCTGGAAGTACTACGGTGATGATTCACATGTTTTAGATTTCAACACGGTTCAGTTAGATGGGAATTTGGATTATGACGTGGAGTCAGTAGCCATTTTAGATCGACAAGTTTCAAAGTTGAGGTCAAAGAATATTGCATCAGTGAAAGTTTGCTAGAGAAGTCAGCCAGTCGAGGAGGCTACTTGGGAGGATGAGAATGAGATGCAGAGCAGTCACCCACACCTATTTGAGGCTCCAGGTATGATTCTAGACTCATTCAAGAACTAACATATGTTTCAGAGGAGGGAATGTGATGACACGACCTATCGTTTTGTGTATTGTAACCCCTTTACCTATTTATTGCTTATTCTATGTTCACTTATGGTTACGTGACTTCCCGGGGTGGGTAGTTTGGTTCTAGGGATATTTTGGAGTGAGTTGGGACACTTAGTCCTAAGGTTGGAAGCTTAGTTGAAAGAGTTGACCGAATGTTGACTTCTATGTAAAAGACTTCAGAATTGAGTTCTGATGGTTCCGATAGCTTCATACAGTAATATTGGACTTAGGCGTATGTGCGAATGTTAATTTGGAGGTTTGTAGGCTGATTTGGTGCATTTTGGCAAACATTGAAGGTTTGGAAGGTTAAGTGGTTTGGTTGAGAAATGACTTTGTGGATATCAGGTTTGAATTTTGGTTTCGGAAGTTGGAATAGGTTCGTTGTATCATTTATGACTTGCATGCAAAATTTGAGGTCAATCGAAGTTGGTTTGATATGGTTCGACATTGGTTTTAGAAGTTGGAAGTGTGCGATTCGTGGTTTTGGTTTTGTTTGACATGATTTGAGGCTTCGAACGAGTTCGTATAGTGTTTTAGGACTTGTTAATATAGTTGGATGGGGTTCCGGGGGTCAAGGTTTTTTTGATTAAATTCGGATTAGTTTTGTTCTTGGAGTGTTGGCTGAAGTTTCAGGCATCTGGTGCGTTTGCACTTGCAGCGTCATGGGCGCAGGTGCGAAAAAAAATGAAGTCCGGGAGGATTGCAGATGCATGGGTGTTTCTGCAGAAGCGAAAGCGCATCTACGATGAGAGGTCTGCAAGTGCAGAGTGTGTTGGGCTTGGCTTTGGTCGCAGATGCGATAGGCAATCCGTAGGTGCCGATGCAAAAGAGCATACGAGGGGCCGCAGAAGAGGTCTCACATGTGAAGATCTTTGACTGCAGGTGCGCTAGGTTGGGGAACTAATGAAATCTCACACATGCAATGGTTGAGTCCGCAGGTGCGGCGTTGCAGGTGCGACTCTGAGGGCCGCAGGAGCGAATTGCTGGGCAACATTTAAAATCGAAGGGTTTAGTTGTTTTTCTCATTTTTGGGATTTTGAAGTTCGAACTAGGGCGATCTTTGGAGAGGTTTCTACCTAGATTGAAGAGGTAAGTGACTTTTAATCACTTTGTATGGATATTAAATATCCATTGATTATTACACCTAATTTTCATGAATCTAAGTTAGAATTGTAGACATGCGATTTTTGACCCTCCCCAAGATTTTACATATTTTATCACTTAAATACTTAGTTTAAGCCTAATATAGTTATTTCAACTAATTTTGACTCTTTTACATTATTTTTTATCACATAGATGAAAATTACAAAAAATACTTTCATTAAGATTTTGTAGACATTTTTAATCTTGAAAAAAATACCAAAAAATAGGTTTATTTTAAACGGTTAGTATTATTTTAATAGTTATTTTTTAAGTAAGATTAAGTAGTATTTTTAATAGTTATCTTGTTTCCTATATTATTTTTATATACAAAAAGGAGGAGAGAATAGAATTAGTTTTCGGACCAATTTAGTCTTGCTTGTAGCCCAATTAAACCAACCCCTTAGCCCATTAACTCAAAAGCCCAAACCTAGACACCTATTTAAGATAATATACAAGAAAAATCAAAAACCGTAGACCTAGAGGGAGGGGTTCAACCGTATTTCACATGGAGAAGACCTTCATCTTCTTCAACAGATTACACAAAACATGGAGCAGACCTTCATCTTCTTCTCCAGGACAAACCATAAGAAGAATCCCATGAGATCTTTTTCTTGAACACAAGACAAAAAGATACAAAAAACCCTAAAAGAACAGTCAGCTGCCGAATCAACCTTCACCTGCCGGCGACCACTCCACACACATCCACGACCAGCTAACTCCTCCATCTCCAGCCGTCGGCGACCCCTTCAACTCTGGCGAACTGACCTCCTCTCTCTCCGGGCTGACACGAACGACCCCTCGTCTCATTTTCTTGAAGCTAACGCACACAAAAGCACTCCCATCCCAACTGTTTCTAGATCTCAAACATCCGGGTTCCATTGCCGGCGAGCTTCACGGGAACCAGCGGAAACTAACCCGAAAATCCCCTAAAAACCAGCTCGAAAACTATCCTTTTTTCATCTCAAAATGGAACTGAAAATCAGTCGACCCACAACCATCGACCCCTCGATTTGTTTCTCCTACGTACCAGCTGAAACTCACATAAAAAGGTCACTATTTTTTCAGCTCTGAAATCTTACATTGAAGATGTGCTCGAAGTCGAGCTTCGCCGGAAACCAGTTAGCTCGTCATCTTTCATTCGACTCCATCAATTCTAACTGAGGTTCTGGCCGATTTTGTTGCTGCTCGTAGAGTTTGCTGATTTTGGGTTGCCGGTTAGAGTTTGGTTCGTGGTTTCGGATTTGTCTCATTGTTGTCTCCTTCATTCAGATTTACACTTTGGCAAAGCTATTTCAATTTTCGGGTACTAAAGAACACTTTCTTAACAGGTTCCTTTCTGTTCTACTATCTCATTTACTTTTAGTTAGATTTAATCTTCTTCCATTACTTGTGTTTTGCCTTACTTCCGTGTTTAAGTGTTTATAGTTTTGAATCTGTTGGTTTGAACACATGGAACTGTAATTTGATTTAATTTTGTGATCACTAAATTGGTATTCAATTGCTCAAGTTTTACATAAATGGGTGTGGGTGGAGTATTGTTTAAAAAGAAAATATTACATCATTATTTCATTAGTTAAGCTTGAATTAAAAGGCCGTATAATTGAAAAAAATAAAAATTGAAAGAAAACGGAAATACATTTAAAGTTTAGTAATTCTATTTAGTTATTATTAACTCTTCACTTCCCCGCTAGTAACATGCTTAGGCCGTCATCATTTGGGTAGGCAAGCCTCAGGATGTTTAGTTTAACTTATAATGTTTGAATGTAAGGTGAGAGGTTGTCCCTTAGATAAATTCATTCGGGGAATGCCGCGAAGTAAATGTAAATGGAGTCGTGGAATCATCAATGGAGGCGTAGTATAAGTTAAGAAGACTTTCTTTATTTTGTTTTATTTTTCTTTTATTAGGAAGGGACGACCTCGAACCTTTTGGATGTTTATTTTTTTTGTGTGTTTTACCTCAATTCGAACATTCTAAAAGCCAACTTGATCATGTACGCAACCGTATTAGTTACAGGACTTGGGGAATGCCTAACACCTTCTCCCTGAGTCAAATGAACCCCCTTAGCCGAATCTCTGGCGCGGACTTGGTTTTAGAGTCCAAGTGTTTTAAAAGAAAAAATTATTTTCAAAAAATACGGTGACCTGACACACCGAAATCAATGTCAGGTGGCGACTCTGAGTAATTTCCTTTTGCACAAAATTTCGTCACTTTTTAATTAAAAACCCTTTTCAAGCTTTATAAATTCCTTTTATTTATTTAAGAGGGGTTAGTGAAGTTTGGTTAAAAAAAGGAGTGTGACATCTCTGACGACTCTACTGGGGAGTTGTAGGTTCGAGCTGATACTTGATCTTGTTGGCTTTTAGGATATTCGGTTGAGGTGTTTGTTTTCTTTATTTGCTTTGTTTGTTTAGTTTGTTTGTTTTATTTTTTGTTTTGTTGGTTACTTGTTTATCGCTTTTCTTAATGAGTTAATGCTTTATAAACTGTCATCATTTGGATAACCATGAGTCTTCTTTCTGCAACAAGTCCCGGAGTACGCGTCGCGTGCACGAACTCTTTGTTGAGTCACCCTTAATTTAGGAGGGGGGCCGCCGGACGTATGGAGTGGGTGGAAAGCTTGAGCAGCCACCATCGACCATACGCTCCCCCGAATTGACTTGTTAGTGAACCCCAAACTTAGGTCAGCCTTTAGGTCATTTTTATTTTCATCATGTCATTTAGACCTAGCAGGGCTCGGTCCCAGGTACCGTGTCCCTTTGTAGGAAGCCTATCCAAATTTTGTCAAAATGGGTCCGTGGCCCAAAAAACATTCAATCATCCCTATGTGATACATGTTGCATCTTTGAGGGTAGAAAGGTCATTTGACGGACCGATACTTGGGAAAGAAGGGTGAAAAATGAAGCAAGTAGGGCTAGTTATATTTTTCTTTCACAACTTTTTTTTTAAAAAAAAAGACCAAAAAAAAAAGATTTTACACTTTCCCATCATTTTCCAAAAAATCAAAAAAAGAAAGAAAAAGAAAATCCAAAAATATTTTACATTTCCCATCATTTTCCAAAAAATCAAAAAAAGAAAGAAAAAGAAAATCCAAAAATATTTTACATTTCCCATCATTTTCAAAAAGACAAAAATATATTTTTTCGAATTAGTGTCATTTTTAAGCTTTCTCCCATGTCCAATCTTCCCGAACTACGCGAACCTGATTCTCGTTTTTCGAGACGTGATACATAGGCAACCCACATAGGGTCCGGTCTTCCTAGTAAGTCTTAGGTTCTTGGCTTTGCGGGGTCTTAGCCATATCTTGCATGTTTAGCCACTTTTGGCCACATTGGCCATTCTTTCAAAATGGGGTCATTTTTGCAAAAGTAGTTCATTGACTCATGTCTCAGAATCCTGAGTTCGCAACTAAGTGTCCCACTACCTTAAGGTCCGTCCTTCTGAGTTTGCATTTTTAGCCACTTTTGGCCATATCGGTCATTTTTGCAAAATGGGGAATTTCCACAAATTAATTTTGGGCCATGATATTGGGAGTTTGAATCCATAAAAGCCTTAGTGAGGCATTTTCCATGTCCATAAGGCCAATCTTGTTGAGTTTTTATTAATAGCTACTCTTTGCCATGCAGGTTAATTTTCAAAAATAGTTGTCTTGCATGTGTCCAATAGGAGGTGTGGTCTCACATAGTGTCTCGAGTCTCTAATCTATTTGGTCCTATTTTTCTCATTCAGGTGTGGTTCTACGTACCAGGACTCGAGCATGACAGAAACCCAGGACAATTGCGTTCAGGAGTTACTTGAGGAGACGTTTTATATTTTGAGCCTATTTTTAAGTCTCTTAGGTGGTTTAAGAGTTTGTCGAGTCTTTCATTATCGTACTTTCTGTTTTGTATTTGAAAGACCAAAAAAAATATAAATGAAAAATTCAAAAAGATTTTTGTTTCTTAATTTATTTTGTCCATTACTTTTTCAGAACTACGCTTGATCTTATTCATGAGGGACATGATACGTAGGCAACCTACATAGGGTTCGATCGAATCATCATTTTAAAAAAAACACAAAAAAAGAAGAAGAAAACAAAATGAAGAAAAAGAGAAAAAAAGAATGAAGTTGTGGGACGTGAGAAATGAGCGGAAAGAAAAGAGGGGGAAAGAAATGAAAAACCAAGTGGTGTTAGAAAGGAAAATGAAGAAGGAAATGGGGCAAGAAGAGTGAAACTGGGATGCTTCCATATGACCTTCGTACCCTCGAAGCCATTCTAGAACCGTTAACTGTGACTAGGGGCATTGCACGAAATGTGATATTTTTAGCTGATAAATGTCCTAACGCTAACATGTTGGCTTCGTTTTGCTCCTCTTTGTTACTTTTATTGTTATTATAACAGAGGGTGGTTAGTTTGTGGCACTTTGGTGATTCGTCCATACAACACCAGAAAGCACAAGACAGTCATGGCTAGCAAAGAAACAGACACTGGGGTTGTACACCCACCAATGGAGATTGTAGAATCAGAATCGGAACATAAAGAGGAGGTCCGAAGGTTGAAACAACAGATGGCAGAAATGTATCAAACTTGGATCAGGGGGCATCCTCCACCTTCCTTCCCCACTAAGTACACTGAAAACCCTGCAACTATCCCACCACTAACACAAGCCCAGGTTCCTACTACTATTGCTCTTTCTCCTCAATACGCCCCAGGCTTCACCCCTTACCACAATTATCCTGGAACTTCCTCCCAAACTTTCCATGCTCCACCAGCCAAAACAACCGCATTCCTAGCTCCAGATACCCAATACCATGCCGTGGAACTGACTTTCAATGTCCCAGATCCTTATTCTTACACTCCTCACTTTGAGCCTCATGTTGAAACTGAGAAACCACCCAAGAACGCAGAGTAGGAGGAGATGTTTAGGAAGGTAAAGAGTCTGGAGCAATCATTGAGAAATATGCAGGGGTTAGGAAGCCAGGTGAGTATGGATTATAAGGATTTGTGTTTGTTCCCTGATGTTCAACTGCCTACCGGGTTCAAGATGCCCAAGTTTGACTTGTATGACACATGGGAATCTTGTAGCTCATCTGAGAGTTTATTGCAGTAAAATGAGAGGCGCCAGAGAAAAAGACGAATTACTGATGGCGTACTTCAACCAAAGTTTGAGTGGGGCAGTTCTAGAATGGTACACCCGCCAGGATGCCAGCAGGTGGTACACATGGAACGAGTTGGCTCAGGCCTTTGCTCGGCATTTTCAGTACAACATAGATATTGTCCCGGATCGCCTATCCCTAACTAAGGTAGAAAAGAAGCCCATTGAAAGCTTTAGAGAATATGGTTTCCGATGGAGGGAGCAAGTTGCACGGGTCAATCCTCCGATGGAAGAAGATGAGATGGTTGAATACTTTCTTCAAGCCCTGGAGCCTACTTACTTTGGCCATTTAATCTCAGCCATTGGTAAGCCTTTCAATGATGTGGTAAAGATGGGAGAAATGGTGGAAGAGGGACTGAAGTCAAGTAAGATCATGAGCTATTCTGCCTTAAAAGCCACAACACAGAGAATTCAGAAGAAACATGATGTTGTTGCCATGGTTGTATCAGGATCGCGACATAGCCCAACGGGTCCACCTCACCAATATACTCAGCCTCGACCCCGACCCCAACCCCAAACCTATCCCCGAGCTCCATATAATCCACATCAGTACTATCCTCCGAACAACGTCTAGTCATTTGTTCAACCACTGGGTCACTAATCATGGCGATCACCAGCACTGCATAATACTCTTTCACCTTCACAACATTGTCAAGCACCCAACAACCCTAGGAAACAGGGGAATAGAGGGGAATAAAGGCAAAGAAATAGTTTTACGCCAATCGGAGAATCCTACACAAGCTTGTTTGAAAAGTTAAAACAGTCTGGCCTGATTGAGCTGCTCCTTGGCTATACTCCGGACCTATATGCAAAAGGTTTTGATCCTACTCTACGATGCATGTACCACTCTAATGTCCAAGGGCATAACATTGAAGATTGTCGTGCTTTGGAAAGGGAGATAGTAAGAATGATTCAAGAAGGGATAATTGTGGTCCAGGACAATGACACCCAGAATATCGCGCAAAAACCTTTACCTGCACACTTTGTGGGGAAGATGCACAGTGACAGGTAGTATGAGAATCCTCTTGGGAACTTGCTGACTGAAGTTAAGGATATTGAAATTGGTGAAGATCCGGGTAATTTTGATGTGCAACCTAGTGGCTAAGATGTCGAGCTTAGTAATTGGAAAGACACTCCTTTCTTGGCTAGCCAGGGAGGAGTTTTGGTAGTTTATTTTGTTGTCATTTCTGTTTGTCCGGGTTATTTCAGGGTTGTAATCCGGATATTGTCTTGTGGCTCAAACTCTTCTTCTTCTCACTTTGTCTAGTTCGTTTAGTTGTAGTAACTCGTCTAGTGTTATTTAGGATTGTTCCAGGGTTGTAACCCATGTCTATTTTGCTTGTCTTGTTCAAACCCTTTTCATCATCTGTCTAATGCAATCTCCTATTTTCTGTTAATTCTAGTCAGTTTTTGTTTAGGTCATTTTTTATTTTATAGTTCTTTTTATGCCGACTCTAGTGACATGACATGCACGCATAATTCTCATCCTGATCTTGAAAGTTAGTCTAATCACGAAGCAATGACACAGTTTTGAATATGATAAACGGATGCGTTTGAGGAAACAATTAAAGATTTACGCATTCTGAGATGACCTGAACTTTGAATTAAGTGAAACTGAGGCAGTAAGTCTGGGAAATCAAGAGGTTGGTAAGAATATACAACAAGGAAATGTCTGTCAAGCAGTATGAGGTAAATCAGCCAGTGCTGAAATGCATTCTTCCACATCAATATAAGGTTGAGTCAAGTCTGCTTCGAACTGGCAAGGGTCATTCATTGGGATAAAGGTATTGCCCATTGGTACTTTTTGTTTGTGTTGATGCCTTCAATGAATACTATGTGTGATTTATTTGCTTATCTTCAATTGCATACTTGTACCTGGCATTCTTAAAGTTTGGTATGACGAAGGTATTTTATTCTGCTACTCAAATACTTTTATCCTTTGCTACCCATTTTGAGTCCTAATTTTTTTATTTCAAACCCCTCTTTTGGAATCAGAAATAGAGTTAGGAACTCGAAAAGGAAAAGAAAAAGAGAAAAAGAAAAAAAAAGGAAAAGAGAGAAAGATAAAAAAAAGAAAAAAAGGAGAAAAGAAAAAAAAAGAAAAAGAAAAAAAAAAGAAAAGGAAAAGAAGAAAAAGAAACAACAACTTTGTCTTTTGAACTACGTTCGACCTGATTCTTGTCACCACAAGATACGTAGGCAGCCTTACGGTTCGGTCACACCAAATAAAATATTGCATAATTCCCCGAAGTCAAGAGTGGGGCAGTTTTTCTTAGAAATCCCAAGAAATAATAATTCTCCAAACTCCAAGAAACTGGGCAGAAGTTTTAATTTTGCCAAAAGATCTGATTCCAAAAGTTGTAATTTTGAACCCTTGCATCTTAAATTATTTTGAGCCTTTATGCCACCCTTCCTTTTCTAACCCTGTCCAAAAGCCTACATTACGGTCCAAAGAAAGACCTTCCAACCAATCTCTGAGGATGTCAAATCAAGTGTATGGTGAAAGTATGATCTTCGTGCATCATGGGTAATACCTTTGTTCTCAGCACAATGAGAGAAAATGATAAAATGAGAGAGTCTTATCGGTGAAAACTCTCAGGGGAGCCGTAAGACGACGGTGAGTTGAGAAAAGAGCAAAATGAGAGAGGCTTGATGGTGAAAACCTTCAGGGCACTATAAGTCGACTGAGGATTGTGGATCAAATGGGACAACTGAAGCGCTGAAGCCCAGTTTCACAGCGAAGAGGTACAATAAGAGTTGATTATTAGACTTGCTTGAGAGATTAGGCCACTTAATCCAAAGGTGCATGTCATGGTCATTAGAGTTGGTATCCACATCTGATAAATTTCTACTTTGTAATTTTCTTATTAGGTATCATCTCTTTTCCTTGTCCCTTATTTTGTTCCTCTTGTTTTGTTTGAGTCCCTTCTTGAGTCTGTTTGATCAGAACAAGTGAGAAATGACTTTAAAATTTACTACCAACTTTCCAATTGCACAAAACGAATTTGGCTAGCACATCAAAGTGGCATAAGTCAAAGAAAAATGGTATGGACATTGAGTGGGTAACAATCAACATGCTTTGGGATTCATGTGAAATGAAAGGGTTCGATAAATGTCAATTTATAAGCAAAATGCGACATATAGAATATATTGGGATCAAATGGAGCAGAGGTATTTTCTGTGATAAGGGTTGAAAGAAAATGGGTAGTCGATAACAGTCAAGGTCGTCCAAGTTGAAATCAAAGTTATCTTGGTAAGTGCAGAAGCAAACACTCAACAATGATGCCACAAACTAACCACCACGTTTTCAAACAAACAAGATTTTATTTGTCTGAAATAAGGGCAAGAAATTTGTTAATCCACAGGGACCCTCCCATGAAGAAGGCATGGCTCAGGGGCAAGAAATTCTATTCAGAATCCTCCAAGAAGAGAGCATGGCTCAGGTAAGTTTATTCTCTACTTTTACGGACCCTCCTGGATAATGGGATTTAATTTTTTAATTTTCAAGACCCTCCTGGATAATGGGATCTAGTTAAATTTCAAGATCTTCATAGATAACAAGATTTAGCGTAAGTTCTACCATTAGGAAATATAATTTAGATTTAAAGTTGTCACTCTTAAGATGAGATTTAATTTGAAGTTTTCAGGGCCCTCCTGAATAATGAGATTTAGCTTTTAAATTCTTAGAGCTCTTTAGGTAACATGATTCGATTAACACTCACAAATGTGCCCAGATTCCAAACTGGGCAGAAAATTTCTTTTGTTTTGTCCAATGTTGTAATGGCAGGTGCCCACCTGGATAACAAGGGAAAACAATTCAAGTTTTGGCAATCAGGCGCCCACCCGAAGAACAAAGGAATACATTTCAATTTTGGCAATCAGGCACCCACCTAGATAACGAGGGAATACGATTCAAGTTTTTGGTAATCAGGCANNAATACAATTCAAGTTTTTGGTAATCAGGCGCTCACCTGGATAACAAGGGAATACAATTCAAGTTTTTGGAAATCAGGCACCTACCTGGTTAGTTTTTGGTAATCAGGCGCCCACCTGGATAATGAGGGAATATAATTCAAGTTTTTTGTAATTAGGCGTCCACCTGGATAACAAGGGAATACAATTCAAGTTTTTGGTAATCAGGTGCCCACCTGGATAAGGAGGGAATACAATTCAAGTTTTGGTAATTAGGCACCCACCTGGATAACGAGGGAACACAATTCAAGTTTTGGTAATCAAGCACCTACCTGGATAACGAGGGAATACAATTCAAGTTTTTGGTAATCAGGCGCCCACCTGGATAACGAGGGAATACAATTCAAGTTTTTGGTAATCAGGCGCCCACCTGGATAACGAGGGAATACAATTCAAGTTTTTGGTAATCAGGCGCCCACCTGGATAACGAGGGAATACAATTCAAGTTGTTGGTAATCAGGCGCCCACCTGGATAACGAAGGAATACAATTCAAGTTGTTGGTAATCAGGTACCCACCTAGATAACGAGGGAATAAAATTCAAGTTGTTGGAAATCAGGCACCCACCTGGTTAGTTTTTGGTAATCAGGCACCCACCTGGATAATGAGGGAATACAATTCAAGTTTCTGGTAATCAGGCGCCCACCTGGATAACGAGGGAATATAATTCAAGTTTTTGGTAATCAAACGCCCACCTGGATAACGAGGGAATACAATTCAAGTTTTTGGTAATCAAACGCCCACCTGGATAACGAGGGAATACAATTCAAGTTTTTGGTAATCAGGCACCCACCTGGATTACGAGGGAATACAATTCAAGTTTTTGGTAATCAGGCACCCACATGGATAATAAGGGAATGCAATTCAAGTTGTTGGTAATCCGGCACCCACCTGGATAACGAGGGAATATAATTCAAGTTGTTGGAAATCAGGCACCCACCTCATTAGTTTTTGGTAATCAGGCACCCACCTGGATAACGAGGGAATACATTTCAAATTTTGGCAATTAGGCAACCACCTGGATAACGAGGGAATACGATTCAAGTTTTTAGTAATCAGACGCCCACCTGGATAACGAGGGAATACAATTCAAGTTTTTTGTAATCAGGCGCCCACCTGGATAACGAGGGAATACAATTCAAGTTTTTTGTAATCAGGCACCCACCTGGATAACGAGGGAATACAATTCAAGTTTTGGTAATCAGGTACCCAACTGGATAACGCGGGAATACAATTCAAGTTTTTGGTAATCAGACACTCACCTGGATAACGAAGGAATACAATTCAAGTTTTGGTAATCAGGCGCCCACCTGTATAACAAGGGAATACAATTCAAGTTATTGGTAATCAGGCACCCACCTGGATAACGAGGGAATACAATTCAAGTTGTTGGTAATCAGACACCCACCTAGATAACGAGGGAATACAATTCAAGTTTTTGGAAATCAGGCACCCACCTAGTTAGTTTTTGGAAATCAGGCACCCACCTGGATAATGAGGGAATACAATTCAAGTTTTGGTAATTAGGCACCCACTGTATAACAAGGGAATACAATTCAAGTTGTTGGTAATCAGTCACCCACCTGGATAATGAGGGAATACAATTTAATTTGTTGGTAATCAGGCACCCACCTGGATAACGAGGGAATACAATTCAAGTTTTTGGAAATCAGGCACCCACCTGGTTAGTTTTTGGTAATCAGGCACCCACCTGGATAACGAGGGAATACAATTCATGTTTCTGGTAATCAGGCGCCCACTATATAACAAGGGAATACAATTCAAGTTATTGGTAATCAGGCACCCACCTGGATAACAAGGGAATACAATTTAATTTGTTGGTAATCAGGCACCCACCTGGATAACGAGGGAATACAATTCAAGTTGTTGGAAATCAGGCACCCACCTGGTTAGTTTTTGGTAATCAGGCACCCACCTGGATAACGAGGGAATACAATTCAAGTTGTTGGAAATCAGGCACCCACCTGGTTAGTTTTTGGTAATCAGGCACCCACCTGGATAACGAGGGAATATAATTCATGTTTCGGCAGTCAGTCGCCCACCTGGATAACGAGGGAATACAATTCAAGTTTTGGTAATCAGGCACCCACCTGGATAACGAGGGAATACAATTCAAGTTTTGGTAATCAGGCACCCACCTGAATAACAAGGAAATACAATTCAAGTTTCTGGTAATCAGGCACCCACCTGGATAACGAGGGAATATAATTCAAGTTTTTGGTAATCAGGCACCCACCTGGATAACGAGGGAATATAATTCAAGTTTTTGGTAATCAGGCACCCACTTGGATAACGAGGGATTACAATTTAAGTTTTTGGTAATCACGCGCCCACTTGGAGAATGAGGGAAATCATTTCAAGTTCAAGCTATTGGCATGTACCCACTTGGAGAACAAGAGAATTCATTTTAGAGTTACTTTTAATTCTCAAATTCAAGAGGCGTCAGGAGCCCCGCCTGAAGAATATGGTCAATTTTTAATTTTCAAGTTCAATAAGCATCAAAAGACCACCCGAAGAATAGGGTCCATTCTTCAGTTTTATATTGGTAGAGATTCAAGGAAGATTCAAGACAAGAAGTAGATAGGATCTTGTATTTTTCTTTTAATGTAATTTTTCCTTTTATTTTCAATGTAATGGCTGGAACCGCAGACTGGAACCTCGACGACACCTCGACCGGCTCTCCACCTCAGTACACTCCATCACTGTTCCTACTTCTGAACTACATGTGGTCTAATTCCTTTATAGCCAAGTATATGTAGGCAGCTCAGATACCAGGGCTCGGTCACATTCTCTTCCTTTCTCTTAGTTTTTGGTCTTTCTAAATAAGGGTCGGGTCAAAAACCCGTCTAGTCGTTCTTTGTATGAAAATACTTCGTATTTCCAGTCAAAGAGGGGCATCTGTAGACATGTGATTTTTGACTCTCCCCAAGATTTTACATATTTTAGCACTTAAATACTTAGTTTGAGCCTAATATAGTTATTTCATCTAATTTTGACTCTTTTACATTATTTTTTATCACATAGATGAAAATTACAAAAAATAATTTCATTAAGGTTTTGTAGTCATTTTTAATCTTGAAAAAATACCAAAAAATAGGTTTGTTTTAAACGGTTAGTATTATTTTAATAGTTATTTTCTTAAGTAAGATTAAGTAGTATTTTTAATAGCTATATTGTTTCCTATATTATTTTTATATACAAAAAGGAGGAGAGGATAGAATTAGTTTCCGGACCAATTTAGTCTTGCTTGTAGTCCAATTAAACCAATCTCTTAGCCCCTTAACTCAAAAGCCCAAACCTAGACACCCATTTAAGATAATATACAAGAAAAATAAAAAAACCTAGACCTAGAGGGATGGGTTCAGCCGTATTTCACATGGAGAAGACCTTCATCTTCTTCAACGAATTACACAAAACAAGGAGCAGACCTTCATCTTCTTCTCCAGGACAAACCATGAGAAGAACCCCATGAGATCTTCTTCTTGAACACAAGACAAAAAGATACAAAAAATCCTAAGAGAACAGTCAGCTACCACATCAACCTTCACCTGCCGGCGACCACTCCACACACATCCACGACCAACTAACTCCTCCAGCTCCAGCCATCGGCGACCCCTTCAACACCGGCAAACTGACCCCCTCTCTCTCCGGGCTGACACGAACGACCCCTCATCTCATTTTCTTGAAGCTAACACACACAAGAGCACTCCAATCCCAAATGTTTCTAGATCTCAAGCATCTAGGTTCCAATGCCGGCGAGCTTCACCGGGAACCGGCGGAAACTAATCCGAAAATCCCCTAAAAACCAGCTCGAAAACTATCCTTTTTTCATCTCAAAACGGAACTGAAAAGTAGTCGACCCACAACCATCGACCCCTCGATTTTTTTCTCTTGCATACCAGCTGAAACTCACACGAAAAGGTCACTATTTGTTCAGCTCTGAAATCTTACATTGAAGCTGTGCTCGAAGTCGAGCTTCGCCGAAAACCTGTTAGCTCGTCATCTTTCATTCGACTCCATCAATTCTAACTGAGGTTCTAGCCGATTTTGTTGCTGCTCGTAGAGTTTGCTGATTTTGGGTTGCCGGTTCGAGTTTCGCTCGCGTTTTCGGATTCATCTCATTGTTGTCTCCTTCATTCGGATTTACACTTCGGCAAAGCTATTTCAATTTTCGGGTACTAAAGAACAATTTCTTAACAGGTTCCTTTCTGTTCTACTATCTCATTTACTTTTGGTTAGATTTAATCTTCTTCCATTACTTATGTTTTGCCTTACTTCCGTGTTTAAGTGTTTATAGTTTTGAATCTGTTGGTTTGGACGCACGGAACTGTAATTTGATTTAATTTTATGATCACTAAATTGGTATTCAATTGCTCAAGTTTTACATAAATGGGTATGGGTGTAGTATTGTTTAAAAAGAAAATATTATATCATTATTTCATTAGTTAAGCTTGAATCAAAAGGTCGTATAATTGAAAAAATTAAAAATTGAAAGAAAATGGAAACGCGTTTAAAGTTTAGTAATTCTATTTAGTTATTATTAGCTCTTCACTTCCCCACTAGTAACATGCTTAGGCCGTCATTATTTGGGGAGGCAAGCATTGGGATGTTTAGTTTAACTTATAATGTTTGAACGTAAGGTGGGAGGTTGTCCCTTAGATAAATTCATTCGGGGAATGCCCCGTAGACATTGTAAATATTTTAACCTGGGGAATGCCCCGAAGTAAATGTAAATGGAGTCGTGGCATCATCAATGGAGGCGTAGTATAAGTTAAGAAGACTTACTTTATTTTGTTTTATTTTTTTATTAGGAAGGGACGACCTCGAACCTTTTGGATGTTTATTTTTCTTTGTGTATTTTACCTCAATTCGAACATTCTAAAAGCCAACTTGATTATGTACGCAACCGTATTAGTTACAGAACTTGTGGAATGCCTAACACCTTCTCCCCGAGTCAAATAAACCCCCTTACCCGAATCTCTGGTGCGGACTTGGTTTTAGAGTCTAAGTGTTTTAAAAGGAAAAATTATTTTTAAAGAAAACGATGACCTGGCATACCGAATTCAATGTCAGGTGGCGACTCTGAGTAATTTAATTTTGCACAAAATTTTGTCACTTTTTAATTAAAAATCCTTTTCAAGCTTTATAAATTCCTTTTATTTATTTAAGAGGGGTTAGTGAAGTTTGGTTAAAAAAAGGAGTGTGACAAAAATTTGGGAATGTTTGGACTATGTTATTGGAGAGTGAAATTTGAAGATTTGAGGGGTGATTTGTGGTTGGAATTGGATGGTTGTGGTATGTTTGAACTCGTAATTGAATGATTGTTCGAAATTTGTGAATTTTGTTGATTTCCGAAATGCGGTCCCGGGTTGACTTTTTGACTTGAGTTAAAGATCTTAGCTTTATCTTTTGGAATAACTCCTTATGTCTTTTATTGATAGCATTACATTATTTTGGTTAGGTTCGATCCTTCAGGAGGTTGATACGCACGGGAAGGGCTTGATAACAGAGTGATTTGATTTGCTAGAGGTAAGTATCTTATCTAAACTTGGTTTGAGCCTTTGTGCAAACACCAGGGTATTTATCCATGCTCGGGTAGTGCTTAGGCTGTGATATGCATAGAATTGACTGTTAAGCTTTAAGCTATAATGTTTCTCATTTTTGTAACATTGTTTTGAACTATTTGAACCATGTTTGAGGTTACATAAAGGCTAAATCCATGAATGAACTTGATAATTGTTATCTCTGTGATAACATAGCCGATTTGAGCTATGATAGCACACTATGCACATGCCTACACTTTAGCATGACACTTATACCAGTCCATGAGCATGGATCTGCTATTCATTCATCATATACATGTATATTTGTACATTTGCTTCTGTATGATATGATTTGGATTGGATGCATATTGCCACGCTGGACGGATTGTATTACTATGCATGTAACCATGCTAGGCGGATTGTGTTACTGTGCATGTGACCATGCTGAGCGGAGTATGTTGATATGCTTGTGACCACGCCGAGCGGATTATGTTATTATGCTTGTGACCACGTGGGACAGATTATGTTGTTATGCATGTGACCACGTTGGACAGATTATGTTGTTATGGTTGTGACCATGCCAGGCGGATTATGTTGTTATACCTATGACCACGTCAGGATTGCATTGTTATGTCTGTGACCACGCCGTGTGGATTATGATATTGAGACTATGACCACGCTGGGCTGGTAGAACATTGAATTTGCCATTCTTGCATGTGGATATGGATCCATACCCCAGGGTCATCCTCTCATATTTCTCTCTTGATGGCGTACATGCGGATATTGAGAAAAACTGCTCAGTGGTTTGGTAAGAATATGGAAAGGCTGAGGAAATCTGGCTAGTGTTTGTTTGGATTTTGCATTTCATTTTTATTTGCAATTTTCATGGTTAATTACCTGAATTAACTACATATCATCTCTACATGCTGAACATTGACTGAACAGAGTATTGAGTAACTGCACACATACAAACAGATGTTATTCCTGTGCTTTATGACTTGATTTTATTATTGTTATATACTTGTTAAAATAATAAAATTATACAGGTTATAGCTAGTATCATTCATAATTCGTTCCTTTTTACCTCACCGAAGTTAGTGATGATTCTTATTAAGTACATTGGGTCGATTGTACTCATATTACACCCATCACTTAATTGTGCAGATCCAGTTGTAGAGACCAGTTATCAGCAGTAGATTTGTTTGTTGGATTGAGCATCGAGAGGTGAGGCAGAGCTGCATATATCATTGGCCACAGTTTGACTTGTCTTTTCTTATATACTGTTGTTTCAGTTCAAACAGTATTATTATTTAGTTTTTTCAAACCTATATTCTGTAATAGAGCTCATGACTTCGTATTTACCAGTTTCTAGGAGATTTACCTTATATTGGCAGTATTTTGTTACATTAAGGTTTCAGACTTATGTTATTTCTATAATTTATGTTGTTCGGATTCTTTATTGTTTTGTTTCGGCTTGCCTAGCTTGTGTTTGGCGTCATCACAACGGATTGGAATTTCAGGTCATGACGTTAATCAAATCCGTGATTTGTTCAGTTGGGTAAAAACTGTGTATCAGAAAAGAAAATATTTTTTAAATTTTTTGATCAAATAGACATGGATGGATTAATATTATTGTTCCTATCTTCAACAAACTTGACATATCTGATTCCAAGCACCCGCAATGACTTATATTTTCTTTTAAAAACTAACATGGTGTTGGAAATTAATTAAAAGGTGTCATATCACAAGTTGTGGAATTAAAAATTTACACACCAAGGTATCCCACATTTCTTTTACTATCGTTCCACTATAAAAGAAAAGAGAGAGTAATATCTAAATTTGAATCCTCTCTACTCCTGCACAGTATTTTAAAAGGTGTTTTCGGGGCAAGCCCCAGGACGAGCCGTGGGGTGAGGCGCACCAAAAATGTCCCGAAGCGATGGTGTGAGGCGAAAGTCTCAAGAAGCGTACACCCAACAATTCGTGGCGTATGCCCGAGCATTCGGGGCGTACGCCCGAGAGTTTGAGGCGCGTTTTTGTAGTGAGGCGTAAGCCCCAGATACGTTTTCAAGGTAAAATAAAATTTATTGAATAAGTCCTTCATATAATACCTCAAATTCTCAAAAGTAAACTTGTAATTACTCAAAAGTTTTAAAAAAGGAATTGAAATGTATTAAATTTAAAAGTCAAGACCTTTTTTATTAATTGAAGCCCTAATTTATGGTCTTTCTCAGTTCTTTATGTTGTCCGCTAATCTGCTAATTTCTTCCAAAAGTAACGAATATTCAAATTGTTTTTACAAATACTAAGAGAGCTCAATTCTCCTTCATAGTAGCAAGTTCAATGTTCAAATTCCAGGTTAGTCATCCTTTTTGTTTCTACATATAGAAAACTTTATTCTTTTCAACTCAAGTTACTTGTGCTTGTAAGTAATGTATAATAAATTGTTTTGACTTATTTTTGTGGGGATGGAGCACATCTATATATATATATATATTTCACATATTTATAGTTTTCTTCAATTTTTATGCAATGTTACCTATTTATAAATATTTGCTGTAATTATATTATTTTATAAAATATTAAAAATTAAATACTCATGGGGTTTACGCCCCGTGCCTCGAGGCTTACGCCTCGCGGAGGTATATGTAAAACGTCTCGGCTTACGCCCACACCTTTTAAAACACTTCTTCTGCAAAAATTCTTTTGTTTCCTTCCTCTATATTAACTAGACAATATTCTAAGTCTCGTTCTAAGGGATCTGATTCTTGAGTACTTGATAATGGCAGCTTATACTGCTGTAATTTCTCTTCTCCAAAATCTAGAGCAACGAAACCCAGAACTTAATCAAGCTCATACCGCTGAAGCGCTCGAATCTCTTCATGCTACTGCTAAATATTTTCAAAATGTTCTTGAAGAAGCTAGCAAGAGAAGGTTTTACTCTGAAAAAATTAAATCTTTGGAGGAAAAAATAAGGGTTGCTGCTAGTTACACAGAAGATGTTATTGAGCTGAAAATTTGTCAAATCATTGACGGTTTAAGCTGGACATTTGGAATTTTACAACATGAGGATGTGCTATCGGTTGTTGAAAAATGGATACAGCAAAGAAATAAGTGATGGGGATTATTTCTGATTTTAGTAGAAGTGCTGATGATGTTCATGATTGATCAAATTCTTCAAATATCTGGGCAATCCGAGATTGGTAATTCTTCTACAAGTAATCTACTACTACCAACCTTGGAAGATGTCATCATGCAGGGACTTGATGATGACTTGGAGATCATAGTTAAAAGATTGACAGGACCGCCACTTGTCACGACCCTAGTTCTCCCTCCGTGAACTGTCGTGACGGCACCTAATCTCTACGACTAGATAAGCCTAACAAATTGCGGAAAAAGGAAATAAAATACGAAACTAGCAAGTTATGAGTAAAAACATAAACAAAGAGTTTAACAATATCGCTCGGCATATACAATACATACTCTCAAAACTGAATCAAACTCCAAAACCCGGAATCTCATGAAAACACAAGCTGTAGAAAAACTATATAGTGTTCTAACTCCAAAATGTCTAATCAAAAGTAAATACATGAAGTCTAAAGCTAGAGGGGAGAATATAGAGGGACTTCTGGATCTACGGACGCGGCAGATATACCTCGAAGTCTCTGATATCGCCCACCTCACTAGTAGAATGGTNACAAGGTAAAACGGTATGAAGTGCGACAATATAATTACAAATACTAACAGTCGATAAAGAGTAAAATCACAGATAGAATATACTCAGCACACAGATAGCAACATGGGATCTCCCAGGATACTGTCTCGTAGTCCCAAACATAAATGTGTAGTGGGATCTCCAGGAATACCGTTCCGTAGTCCCAAAGTAAATATGCAGTGCTGGCGGATCTCCCAGAATACCATTCTGCAGTCCCAAAGTAAATATGCAGTACAGGGGGATCTCCTGGAATACCGTTCCGTAGTCCCAAAGTAAATATGCAGTGCTGGCGGATCTCCCAGAATACCATTCTGCAGTCCCAAAGTAAATATGCAGTACAGGGGGATCTCCTGGAATACCGTTCCGTAGTCCCAAAGTAAATATGCAGCTCAACCAATATAAACAACAATCACAGCAAGAAAACTTACAGTTTAGACAAAGTTCAAATAAAAGAAAAGCAGGTAATTTCACTAACATGCTGCACATAGTTCAAATAGTCAGTTAAAACACGTAGGCATGCTTTTCTAATCTAAAAAGGATAGCACATATTCTAGTGTAGTTCAAACAATGAGAAAACATGTTATGATTTAGTGAAAAATGGAGTTTTACAACAAATAGCTCATGTACGTACTCGTCACCTCACGTACACGGTGCTCATATATCAAACTGTACCAAATACAAAGAGGAGTTCCCCCACACAAGGTTAGACAAGCCACTTACCTCGAACCAAGATCAATCAATCCGAATAAATGCTCTTTCCACGAATATCCGACTCCGGATGGTCAAATCTAGCAAAAACCAATTACATAACGTAAATATAGCTATAAGAAACTGATCTCGCTAACGAAATCAAAGCTAAGGCACAAAATAAGAAAAACGCCCACAAAGCCTCCCCAAGCCCACGTCTCGGAATCGTGTAAAAGTCACAAATTATGAACACTCATTCACTCCCGAGTTCAGTCGTATGAAAATTATCCAAATCTGACGTGTAAATCCCACTTAAAACTCAGAAATTTGATTGGGGAACTTTTCCCTTATTTTCCCAACTTTCTCACTCAAATTCCTTGATTAAATGAATAAAAAATAATAGATTAATGAAATGTAACCAAAATCGAATAAGGAATTGTTACCCCAACGCTCTCTCTGAAAATCCCTTAAAGAATCGCCAAATCCCGAGCTCCCAAGTCCAAAAATGGTGAAATGAATCAAACCCTTGATTTTTGCCCTTTTTTCTGCCAGTCAAACCATATATGCGGACCTTCCTTCGCACCTGCTGTGCCGCATCTGCAGTAAATCCTCCGCTTCTGAGAAACTCACTTATTCAGCTTACCTCCACTTCTGCGACCAGTGACAACATCTGCGCATGTCACAAGTGCGGAAATTATATCGCACATGCGGAACCAAGCTCGCACCTGCGCCTAACTTTCTACATATGCGACCATCGTAGGTGCGGGAAAACCCTTCGCACATGCGGAATCTGCTCCACTCACCCCAAGTTTCTTTTGCAATCCAAGTCTACTTCTGCGTACCTGTACCTACGGTGACCACTCCGCATGTGTGATTACACCAGCACCAATAATCTTCACCAATTGCATAAGTCCAAATTTCAACCAGTTGAGCTTTTGAAACACACCCGAGTTTCTCGGGACCTCAACCAAACATACCAACTTATCCTGAAACACCATACGAACTTAGTCGAGCCCTCAAACCACATCAAACAATGCTAAAAACACAAATCACCCTCTACATCCAAACTTAATGAATTTGAAACTTCAAATTTTCACAACCGATGCCGAAACCAATCAAACCACGTCCAATTGACCTCAAATTTTGCACACAAGTCATATTCAACACTACAGATTACTCCAACTTTCAGAAACAGATTCGACCCTGATATCAAAATTTCTGATACCGGCCCAAACTACAAAAATTTGAATTTCGCCATTTCAAGCCTAAATGAGCTACGGACCTCAAAAACTCAATCCTGATACGCCCCTATGCCCAAAACAGAACCGATGAAACTCCATTGCGGAGTCGTCTTCACACAGTTCCGACTTCGATCCAAATTCTAAGTCTTAAGCCTTCGTTTTACGAACTAAATGTCCCAAACACTTCCAAAAATAAAAATGAACCTCCCGGCAAGTCACAATAGCAGAAATAGATACGGAGGAAGCAGTCAATAGGGTTCGAGGCTCTAACTCTCAAAACAACCGACCGGGTCATGACATCCTCCCCCTCTTAAAACAATCTTTCATCCTCGAATGAGCATAGAGACATATCTGAAGTGGTGAAAAGATGAGGATAATGGATGCACATATCTTGCTCGGTATCCAAAGTCGCCTCCTTGACCGGCTGACCCCACCACTGAGCCTTTACTGATGCAATGTTCTTTGACCTCAATTTTCGAACCTACCTGTCCAAAATAGCCACTGGCTCCTCAACATAAGATAGATCCTTGTCCAACTGGACTAAGCTAAAATCCAACATGTGAAACAGATCACCGTGATATCTTCGAAGCATCGAAACATCAAATACTGGATGAACTCCTACTAGGCTAAGAGGTAAGGCAACATTACAAGCAACCTCCCCAACTTGCCGCAACACCTCAAAGGGACCAATAAACCTTGGACTTAGCTTGCCCCTCTTTTCGAACCTCATAACACCCTTCATAGGAGAAACTTGAAGCAAGGTCCACTCTACAACCATAAATGAAACATCGCGAACCTTCCCATCCGCATAAAT